TTTTCAGATTGAAAAAAACTAATTTCAAATATACTTGTACTATTCAATTATCAAAATTAAAAACTAATTTTAGATCTCAATGGAGCTCGAACAAATTATGCAATTTTTAGATTTTTCTGCAATTCAAAATCACTAATTTTGTAATTCTAGTCATATAATCCAGCGTTAATTATCTTGTTTCAAAGAAAAATGGAAATATCTAATTCTGAATTCTCAATGGAGCGAAAGTGCAGTTTCTGTCTCATAATTTGACATAAACTTGAAACTGCATTTTTTTTTCTCAAGCTAAAGATGCAGAACTTTTTTCTCTCGTGTGTTTGATCACATTTGTATCTCCATCGATCATTCGAAAAACCACAAAACAATCAAAAACCATTGAAATCTGAAAATTTTCGAAAAAGACATAGCATCGTGATAGTCGGTAGTAACTATCTAATCCGGATTAACTCTTACTTCTTTTTTCAGTTTCTAAAAAGTCATCATTCCTTCAGGAAGTTTCTGGAAAAGAAAATCTCTGACCTCATCAAGAAATGTTTGATCTAAGGACCTGGATCCGGGTCTCTTTTTCATCTAGAAAAAAATGTTACCTGATATCTTTTTGGGATTGTCATGAAAGAATATTAAATAAGAAGGAGTTGGGGTTTTGTATGTCTAACATATCTATTTTTCATTTCTTCCTTCTTTTTTCTTTCTTTTATTTTTCAACTCATTTCTCTTTTCATGTATTTTTTCCTTGTGTTGATAAGGCTTCACTTTCTGAAAGCCTATGTCAAAATTCTGCAAGGAATCACGTAATGAACAAAAAATTTTTAAAGAATTCGATATCCGAAATTCAATAACCAACATGCAATAATTTTTTTCCGTTTTGAGATTCTATTGAATTCAAATTACAAATATAAAATTTCGTTAACTGGAAATTCTAGTTTGGGTTCTTTTTAAAAACCGTTTGGAAACCAAAAAAATTGTAAATCCAAAAGCATTTTTTGCAAAAATATGAATAGGTTTCTAATTGGGAGGGTTGGGATTTGATTTTCAATTATTAGGAAAAATTTGGAATCAAAAATCTGGAACAATTTTTTTTTAAATTACAGGAAAATTCTGTTTCGAAACTTTTGTAAAAAATTCCAGGTGAAATTCATTTAATTAATGGAATGATCGAACAATATTTTTCACAAATTCTACATTTTCTCCCTGAGTTTCAGTTACTGTTTTCTAACTTTCATTATGAATAGAATATTCTAGTACAAAGTTCGAAGCTGTGGATGAGTAACACCGTGGGCCGCAGCCGAAGATCCAAAAACGACAACTACCGTAACCTAAAACTATTCTTATTGTTCGAATTTAATATCTTTGTTTGAGAAAAGTAAAAGAAAATAAAAGAAAATCGGTTAAAACGAGAACATATACTTTTAGGTTTCGGTAGGTTATAGTAGCTCTCTTCCACATCTTCTATTTTTTTTGGCAAGAATATAAATTTGGAACAAAAAAAATGGAGCAATCGTTGAATTTTCGCATATCTATGGCGGAAATCAAATTTGAGACTTTTCATTGTTCTAAACTTTCTGTTTGGAACACTAAAATTTTGAATCTCATTATTCTCACAAGCCATTTTTTATCGGGAATCTTGAATTTTTGAGTTTTCAGCTTGGTCTCCAAATTTTCTTGGCCTTTTAAGAAGATTCAGAGGATTCAGAAAACCCAGAAAAGAATGAAAATTCCCTGGGGACAAAAAACAAAAAACAAAGCTTCTGGAGAAGGAAATAAATAATAGTGTTTTGTGTGTGGGGTAATTGAGTGAATTGGAGAGAAAGTGCTAGGTTTTTTTCCGCCTCCATTTTTTTCCGGTACTACACTTTCATTAACCTCCTCACTCATGTTTTTGCTCCATTCTGAGCCCCCATTTCTTTTTTCCCTAGGCATCAAATTTTTAATTTTTAGACCCAAAGTACATGGACTTCCTCTGTCTATCCATCCTTTGATCCTGGTGTTTGATTTTTTTTTCAATTTTTCTTTTCTTGGATTTTTTTTCGTTTTTCCAGCGTTTCGAGGACTTGCGAACCGGGAACTTCTAGGAATTTTTTAAAGAAGCCAAATTTTAAAAATGTCTAGGGACATTTTGAACTCTGCATTATGATGATGTTGGTTTTGAAATTTGATCATTTGTTATAGGGATTCAATAATGGAGAAAAAGGACTAGAAAATATTTTGCAAAAGTAAAATAGTAGTTGTTTCTTTGCTTTTTTTTAAAGCGAAACATCGTACTTTCTCTAATAGAAGCTCACCGTATACGCGCACTTTGAGTTCAATTATCTTGGTTCCTGTAAGAGATATCAAAAATCTGTCAACTGACAAAATATTGGTGATATTATGATAAACAATTTATCAGTTTAGAAATTTTTTATATTTTTTACAGGAACCGAAATAATTGAGCTCAAAGTGAACGTGTTGGTAGGCTTACCGTAAAACCTGTAATAGAAGTGCCCCCTTTCAACTTTGAGCTCAATTATCTCGGTTCCTGATAAAGATATCAAAAATGTGTCAACTGATAAATTGGTTATCATGATAGCAGCAACAATTTATTAGTTGACAAATTTTTAACATCTTTATCAGGAACTTTTTCAAAATATTTTTCGGTTTCCAAAATGTTAAATGAAACTTGGGGGCCCTTCTATTACAGGCTTCATAGAACTTGCTGCTCATTTGCTTATCGTTCTGAACAATTCGTCATATTTTCCTTTATTATCCTAATTCACTTTTTAGCATATTTCCCCCTTCGTTCATGACTAATTCATAACAGTTTTAGGCATCTCATAAGATTCCCATAAATTTGTATTTTCCCAAGAAAATTTACCGAAAACAAAATGTTTTTCGAGGAAACAAAAAATGCACAGCGCGAAGAACCATCCGGTAATTTTAATATTTCCATGAACCATCACCCCAGAACATCACAACATTCTCATTAGAAGATCCCCTTACATTTTCTTCGTTTTCCACGTTTTCTGAAAAAGACCAAGGGACCGACCTAATTTGTGATGTCTTGAAATAAAAAGAAATTGGAGAGCGAGAAATAGTGAAAAACAAGAAAAGTGAAAACAGGTTCATGAAAGTTTGATTTTGGTCTCTTCAGTTTTATAACAGGACCAATTTCGTGCGAAATGTTGTCTGTGCTCTTTGAGCATTTGAATCTCCTTTTTTTTCTAGGGAAATGGTTTTGCTGGAGAATTATATATTTCAGCGAAGAAAATATATTGACAGTTCCTTTTTTGAAAGAAAATTACACTTTCAATGAAACCGTAAAATATGGAAGCCTGTGGTTTTTCTGCTACTATAGTCTATAGACAAAAAAAATTCAAAAATATTATGCACAAGCCATTTTGAGGTACTCTGGGGAGTTCAAATACTTTTGGAGAAATAATGTTAGAAGTAGAAAATTCAGGAACGTACTAGCTTTAAGCGATTTCCGAGTTTCTCAAGAAGTATTGCAATGTTTAGTGGAATAGTTTTGAAAAGTTCAGTTTTTGTCAATTTCCTGAAATGGTAAAAAAAATACAAGCCTTACTGTTCTCAAACTTTCTAGAAGATTTTCGAATCTTCACTGAGAAAAGTTCGAAATAGAAAATCTAATTTCAGTTTTGGGGAGAGTTCAAAACAGTGCCGAGAAATTTATAGTTTTTGAGATGTAACAGCGGGGGCCGCTGTTTGTACATATGCTGATTTTTTGAATTTTTTTTCGAAAATTTTTAAATTTTTTCTACAAAATTTATTCAAAAACTCTATATTTTTTGGCTACTTTCTACTTTGATAATTTTAAAAAGTATGTAACTTTTTTCTTTTTTAATTCAATAAAATATCCCAATTTTTCACTGGAATTTTTTTACTGAGAAAGGGCGGGCCGGGCTGGGTCACGGGCCGAACCGGGCCCGTTGCAAGTATGTTTTTTTATCAAGTGCCCAGAATTTTATAAAAATAATAATTTCGATACTTCAATTTTCAAAATTTACTTTTTCAACTCTACCATATTTGCAGGACATCAATGAATGATGGTTCATTCCTCTTTTACATCCTGGTTACTTTATTAAAATTTTTGGAGTTTATCTCAATTATTTTAACGTCTAGTCACATCTTTAGGATAACCATCCCATCAGGAACTAATTTCTAAATATAAAGGACACTTCTCTTATTCATTTCTTCCCGTCTTCCGCCTGAACTCTTCTATCCATATCCAACAACTGCTACTACTCACACCTTCTTCCCATTCGTCATCAAAAATTTTATTCTTGTCGTTTTTCCTTGTAAAAACCACCTCATTGAAAATGTATAGAGAAATAAGGGGGTTGTAGACATTTATTATCCCCCGCTGTGTTCACCAAAACGAAACGAAAATTTGTCGTCCCGTTTTAAAAGCTCAAAAAAAGAAAAGAATGAAAATTCGATTAGTTGAACACCTGGATCTCTCAAAATCTAATGTTTCAAAAATCGTGATCTCTTTTCTTTTCTCTTCTCAGAAATTTCGCTTCCCCTAAAATCCTCATAGACAACGGGAATTCCAATTATTTACCCTTCTCTCTTCTTCCCTTTTGTCGGTACCACCGAAAGTGGGCGGAGCCTATGGAATTTTAATTGAGCTCTTCCTTTCTCTCTCGTCTTTCACCTCCATAATTACACTGCCATCATAATTACGAGTTATGACACGTGCCTCGTCATCTAATTGAAATTTGCTCGACCTTTTGACCTGTATATAGCTTCAATGAAATTGTTGCATTTTGAGAATTAAAAAAACTACTGTTTCAATTATCTTTTAATTTACTAGAGTTCTGTTTATTTTATTCATAAGCTGGAGCTAACTCTGAAATTTTCAGTTACTTTTTTGTACACTTCATAAGTAGCCAATTGTCGTTAGATGTTCCTCTACTATTGTTGAAATGCTTGAAAAATCAAAAAATCAATTCTAGATTTCCACAACTTCTGAATACCTCCACTAATTCCTTACACGTTTTCAGATGACCAACGAAACAGAAGAAACGTGTCATCGATTTATAGACAAACATCCGGATCTGACCAACGAGCCAAGTGTCCTCGTCAGCTTCTCCATTATGTACCTTCATATTTTCCTTCTAGGCATTCTTGGAAATTCGGCGGTTTTGTGAGTTTATAAACAATTTAAAAAATACATTTTATCTTAATTGAAACTGATCTTAGTTGCAAAACTGAAAGTGCTTTGTTTTAATTGTACTCGTCACTATTCTGAAACCGTAACCTTATTTTCCAGGTACCTCACCATGAAACACCGTCAGTTGCAAACCGTCCAAAACATATTTATTCTGAATCTATGCGCTTCAAATGTGTTGATGTGTCTGACAAGTCTTCCAATCACATTTATCACCAACGTCTACAAACAATGGTTCTTTTCGTCGCCAGTTTGTAAACTGATTCCGTTGGTTCAGGTGAGTAAATTGAAATTAGCAATGACGAGCCGATTATAAGTGGGAAGTTTCAAAGAAATCTATGATCATTCAGAAACGGTATTTATTCAGTATTTTTTAAATGATTTTCAATTATGCGCCTTTTTACTGTTTCATTAACTTTGTTTATTGTAAACTCTCTGATAGAACTTCTTTTTGCTGAAATCTGTAGTTAAAGATACCAAAAACCTGTCAACTTGTAAAATGTTTGTCATAATATCACCAACATTTTCGCAGTTGACGAGTTTTTGATATCTCTTGTATAAATTGAAATAATTGAGCTCACATTGAATATGAAGGTTGGGCTTCTTTTAGTATTTACGGTGAATACTTCTATCATTTCTTGTGAAATCGTAGGAGTTTGTACCAGTTTCTTTTCTGTCTAGTCACATGCTTGAGATACCCACCCCATCAGGAACTAATTTCCAAATCTCATAGGAACCGAAAAAACTGAGCAATAAGTGTAGGCATTTACAGTACTAGGAGACCTTACTGTAGCTCTTATTTTGAAAAATACTCTAAAACAATACTAATTGAAACTTCTAGGGAGCCTCAATCTTCGTCTCCACATTTTCGCTCTCCGCCATCGCACTGGACCGCTACAACCTCGTCGTCCGTCCCCATAAACAAAAACTAAGTTCCCGAAGTGCAATGATGATTGCTCTCCTAATCTGGGTGATCAGTGTAGTCGTATGTATGCCGTATGGTTGGTATATGGACGTCGAGAAGATCTCCGGACTCTGCGGAGAATACTGTTCGGAGCATTGGCCGTTGGCTGAAGTTAGGAAGGGATACACGTTTCTAGTTCTGATAACCCAGTTTTTGTTCCCATTCGCTACAATGGCTTTCTGCTATTATAACATCTTTTCGAGATTGAGACAGAGGTAAGGGTGTTGGGGTATCAGTGTTGAGGATCCGTAATATAAATTTCTTAGAGTTGAAACCAAACTGAAGAAGCTTTCCGAGAGATCTCAGCTCTTGGAAAATAGCACAACCTGTGGAACTACTAACCATATCGTTAGTATCAATGCGGTGAGTTCAACTATTGATTCTATGTCTAACGGCCAAGCAGTAGTTTGATATGGAAGATTAATCTAGATTAGAACATTGCAAAACGGAAAGTTTTCAGAGAGTCACATTAATAATCAAGGTAATGTTTTCAAGATAAAGAAAAGTGAAACTTCTAAACTAATTTTTCTTTTTCAATTTTTCAAAATCGTTATAATTTATCAGTGGTGATGGTGAAGATATTTGGTGATGTTTTGTAATTTTCATAATCTAAAAAGTTGGTGGTCGATCAAACTCTGAAAAGGGAAATCCCGATATACAGACACACAGACAGACAGTTCCCACGACGCTGGAAGTAGGATTTCCATGCGGGTAGCGATATACCCGCCCGCACCCGCAGCTACCCGTACCCGCCCGTACCCGTACCCGCTTGCTACCCGGAACTTTTTGTGTTTGCAGACAATGCGCGCAACTTCACGACAATTCGCGCGCATTTTTCGGTCTCTTTCCGAAACAAATTCGTCCATTTTTACTGACTGATGAATTTTCATACCTGAATTATTTTTATTTTCACTTTAAAACTATTTTCTACATTAATAAGCGACAAAGATTGTCAAAAAATCATTTGAAAAAAAAATTTAATCGAAGTGTCGGC